TTTCTTCCTGGAGAAAAAAAGCTTATTTTTAATAGGGACTCGGACTTGGGGCTTGCGACTCAGGACTTGGTACCAAAGATTCGGACTTGGGAGTCAGACCCAAAGACTTGCCAACATCCCTGATAATCTGTTTTTTTAAAAAAAAAAAACATGTTAAATGCCATTCATGAAAGCCAGTTTGGATATTAGAGTATAGATTTCCAGCCAGAAGCTCAGCAAAGATTGGGTCCAAGCTGATTCCACCTAGAATAGTTTTCTGCAGTTAAACCCAGCACTTTGAATTAGTTTCAAGTCTAGCTAAACTCTTCCCAATGGGTAGCTGGTTACACTGCAATTTTTACAAAGCAGCTGTGCTTCTCCAAATGGTCTTTCTTTCACCCACACAGCCCAGAGCACAAGTTAGCACTTGAAATATGTGATATTCCTCCTCCACTATTGAGGCCAAATTCCTGTAGCTATAAACATATAAAAAAAGTTTGTAAGAGAAACTGAGGCGATCACCAATGCCCCCCAAAAATAAAGGAAAATTTGGCCAGGCTGGGGGAAGAGGAGCAAAATGATTATCCTCCTTAATTTGTTATATTATTTCTGATTTTTAAGCAGAAACTATCAGAGGTTGCAGTGTCAGAAGGTATTTACAAAGAGTAAAATGTCTCTTCAAATAAACTTGTGCCAAGTAGTCCATTTTCTTTTTCTCAGCATGGTACAACACCTCGCTTTTTCAAACATATAGAGTAGAACAAACCTTGGTTATAAAATCATGCTGGGATTAGATCACTGCCCCCAACCTAAAACTGCAGAGAGTTTGAATAGGAGGTCTCTGTTTTAGATGTAGAAATATCCCCCCCCCACACACACACACTTTCTTCTCTGATAAGAAATGTGATGGCTCTTTTAGAAACCTACACCCTTTCAATCAGAGGTTTACAGTAGAACAAAGGAAAGAAAACATATAATGATGCCACTAATTTATTTGTTGTTTTTGCTGCACTTCCCCTGGAACTTGGGGCATTATCTCTGTGAACCTGTGTTCCCATGAGGCTAACATGCCTTGTGTTTGAAAAAGTGGATTCTAGTCCATGAAAGAGTATACCATAAGTGGGTAAACTCAATGGACTTGGGGTTAAATCAGTTGCCCCCACGCCCCACATTGTACTGCAGCAGGTCTGGAAAAGGATTCAGGCAGCCATTGAAAAACAAACACAAGAACAAGGAACAACAACAATGGAATTGCTCATATAGGAATATGTGATTTCTTTTATTCCTATTATTTTTAGAGCAGGGAAGGATTTGAGTTGATCTTGGGGGGCTACAAAACTACCCATGGGGGCCTCATACAGCCTGTGGGGTTGAGCAGTGGTTCCCAGTGTTGTGTAATCCAGGTGTTCTTCGACTGCAACTCTCAGCCTTCACCACTAACTATGCTGGCAGGAGTTTCTGGGAGCTGCAGCCCAAGAACACCTGGGTTACCCAATACTGGGAATCACTAGGGTAAGAGCATCATGCTTTGTATAGTCTTCAAAATAACACAAGTCTCTTTGCTGATTTTGGTGGCAGGAAAATTGTAAAGCTTGTAAAGTGTCTCAAATGGGATCCTGTTGCAACCATTCTGGAGCTCCTTTCCTACTGCATCAACAGTAGTCTTTTTTCAGCACAAGCCTGGAAAGATTCCATGTTTCAAGAGTGGCAACCTAATTAGACCACTCATCTGGCTGACCCAAAGAACCAATCCCTATCTCTGATCACTGGAAAGCCTTATACTGTGATCTCACTCTTCAGTCCAAGCATCTCACCTCTCATGTTAAATATGTGGTTATGCTTAGGAATTGGATTTTCAGATTTTCTGGACCTCAAATGCCACAACTCTCTGTTCTGAAAGGTCTACCTACTTCACAGGCACCTTACAAATACCTGAACGTGATGCACCTGGGAGAAAATCCTTGTTTGTTTGTTTGTTTACCTCCCCTTTTCCTTAAAGAGGACCTAAGGTGACATACATCATTAAAAGACAATATTTAAAGCTAAAAACAGCAAGTATACAAATATTTACAGTGGGGTCTTGACTTGAGATCCACTTTCTAAACGCTGGGAGGAGTGAGGAAGCAGACAGGCACCCTTTTCACTGGCCAACAGTTAACTGAAAGTTCAAATTTTGCACTTTCCCTGCCTCCCACATGGTTTTTTTTAGTTCTTAACTCAAATCTAAGTACTTAAGTCAAGTCAATATTTTCCTATGAGAGTGGTTCTTAAGTCAAAATGTTCTTAACTCAAGCCGTTCTTAAGTCAAGACCCCACTGTAAAAGGATCAAACAAATACCACACTAAGAAATGGTAAACAAAGCAACACCAAAAACACACGCAAAGCTGTAAGACACAAAAATCCATTAAGAAACCCACTCAGGCAGCCGATCACTAAGCAAAAGCCTGCCTGAAGACAGGAAGGACAGCTAAGATGGGACCTGGCTCTAAGCATCACAAAGACCAGCAGGGTGAACAGATATTTATAGGATTTCACTCTCAATGAGCCATGCATATACTTTTGTCTCACAGGATTGTGATCTATATGATGAAATTGTTTTAGGCAATAATATGTACAGTATATGTATATGCATATATCCATATTGCTACAGCTCTACTGGACACAACAATTACTTCTGAATCAATGTGCACTTAATTCCACTGGTGCACTCTCAAAATCTCCCTAGCCCTTTCCACTCCATTTTCCTCATAAAACTGAAGCTATATGAAAGAGACGTGAAGCATACTTACTGCAGATTACAGTAAGAAAATAATCGCTCAGTACTTAAAATACACGAATATTTGCCTTCGCTGGCTGCCAGCTTCACAAAGAAAACATGTGATTATTAGATATTTGTACTGACCCTGACTTTCTAATACACTTCAGCAAGATATTCACTGTATTTTTTCTGCCACAGTAATTAAAGCCCATGCTAACAATGCCCTGTACAGCTTAAGCTTTTCAATTCGAATACACATATATTCATCCCCTTTCTATGAATTTGCCTTCGCTGGCTGCCAGCTTCACAAAGAAAACATGTGATTATTAGATATTTGTACTGACCCTGACTTTCTAATACACTTCAGCAAGATATTCACTGTATTTTTTCTGCCACAGTAATTAAAGCCCATGCTAACAATGCCCTGTACAGCTTAAGCTTTTCAATTCGAATACACATATATTCATCCCCTTTCTATGAATGAACTATCAGTTTATTAAAAGGCATACTTTAAAAAGCCTCTTACCTGGAGGTATATACTGACAAGACCCCGAGTAGTTTACCAAAACATTTGTGTGGAACGTCGCATCAAATCTTTCATCTGCACTGCAAAAAACATCAGAAAGGATTCACTGGGTATTGCTTAGTTGTTGAACATAATGCTTGAAATCCCATTGACTAGCCTAGGAAGTCACACTAGAGTAGGTCTACTAAAACAAAGAGCATTTCGGTAAATTTACTCCTCTGTAAGTTCCATTGATTTAAATGAACGTAATTTAACTATGACTTTCTGTGCTAAAGTAAGTCCCAGAATAGATCCATTTGAATCAATGGTGATGATGGAGAAGTTGATTCTTCAAATCCACATTGATTCAATGGATCTATTTTAGTATGACTGACTAGGCTAATCAACAGTATTATGACTACTGTGTGATAAATAACTAAAATATAATTATTAGGTCTGTTAAATTGTTTTATCATTATTAGAGAAAGTGTCACAGTGCCCAAAGTCATTGACTACATGCTGCTGACAGGACAATTACAAGTGACAGAATGCAGGATTAACTCTGATCCATCGTCAATGTATAATTATTATAACAAAATCCATAGACATTTTTCTTTTGTACAGGCAGTTTGTGTAGACTTTATTTTGAAGAGTGGATCTCATTTTGGCATAGTGAACTCAGATTTCGACCTTTTACAGACTGATTACTGAGTTCTGTTCTCAAATATATGGCACTATTCAGTATGTCTGCACTGAATGTCAATAACATCAAGATCATTTGCAAAACGGAAAGGAAACAGACCTGGAACATGTGATTCTCCAAATGTTGTTAGGCTGCAATTCTAACCAGTCTTAGCCGGTGGTGTGGTTTGTTTGAAATTGCATGCATGCATGCATGCATGCATGCATGCATGCGTGTGTGTGTGTGTGTGTGTGTGTGTGTGTGTGTGTGTGTGTGTGTTTGTATATCTGTTCCTGTTTAAAACTTTTTTTTGTCCCATAATGTGGTTATATTCTCCTCTGATTTTTATTTTGGAAGGGGCTCTTCCTCAAATACTCAGATCAGGTACCAAGTATTCTTCATATTACACTGTCTTTGTTTATTGGTTGACTTGTCTCATTTTTATTCCACTTCCTACCCAATGGAGTGGCTTACATATATATAAAAATAAGACTGCATTGGCCTCCAGACTTATGAGAAAAGGTACACAGTACACAGAAGAGATGGAGAAAGAAAGCAAACATTAAAGTGTAGCTCAGTGGTTCTTAACCTTTTTGAAAGAAACACCCCTTTGAGCCATTGAGGAAATTATCAGGACTACGACACTCAGAATCCCCCAGCCAGCATGGCCACTGGTAATAATAAATGTATAAATAAATACAAATGGGCCAGGTACAACTACTTAAAATTCAAAAAGGAAGGAACATGAATGAACTACCTGGAAAAGGTTATATCAAAATATGGAATTAAAAACAAAGAAATCCCTGCTTTCCTTTAACTTTCCTAAATTGATGAGCAAGCATGTCAGCCGTCAGCTTAGCAAACAAGATGAGCTCAGCATGAGAGCAGCACTAGGAAAGCTTATGCATCAAGAGTCAGCCACAGAGATGGGCATGAAACATGGTTCGGCACATTTCGGCAGTTCAGCTGCATAGCATTTCCGGGGGTGCCTCAGCTTCCCTTTCCTTACCTCCTCCAGTGGGTGCCTACTCAGAGGCGGCAGCAGAGCTTCCTAGCCTGGCCTCCTCCAGGTTCTGCCTCTGAGAGAGCACCCACCAGAGGAGGTGGGGCAAGGGAAGCTGGGGCATCCATGGAACAGCTTTGCAGCTGAACTGCTGAACTGTGTCAAACCACAGTTCATAGTCAGAAGCTTATGGGCATATCTCTCGTTTATCAGATTGAAGGAGCATAGTCTGGAAGGATGAACCTATGCAACATACCTTTGCAAAACAAAACATCTGTAGAAAAACAGAATCAGCCAAATTATACACACAGATGAAAAAAAATAACATTCCAGGTGTAAAAATGTGTTGGATGCAAGCCAGTAAATATCAGTTTCCCATCCTATAATTTAATTTACTTTAACTTGTAAAGGAACAGAGAAGAGCACATTGTGCTAGATAATGAGGCATTCTTGAATAATCACAATAATTGCTGCAAAGCATAACAGAGACAGACCAGTTTTCAGCCATTTTGCCACTTGCTCAGCCAGAGGGAACTACTAGATGGGTATTTGTCTTGCTATTTATGCTGTGTTTCTCACCATTCCTTTCAATATTCATTCCACCAACCACATGACATTAGTGCTAATGTGAGTACAGTACATCTAATCCTTTGGCATGAGCAATGCAGTAGATTTTGTTCCCCTGGCAGGGCTTTTTTTGGGGGTGGTACATTTCCAGCCAGCCACATTATTTTGTCTTGCTTTTGGCTTCCGCGATCACCTTCATCTGACATAGCTGATGATACACATAGCATGGTGTGCAAGTGAACCTTCTCCACTTGCCTGCCTTCTGCTTATACTTGCAAGGACCACAACTGCTATGAAATTTATAAATTGTATTTTAAAAATATTTTCCTAGTTTAGTGCTACAGAGCTAAACTGATATAGCACTGATTCAGCTGCTTATTATGTCTTGTCACTTCAGGGATATTTCACTTGCTAATCATTAAAAAAATAAGAGATTTGAATGACAGGGAAAGGGGTAGGTAAGAAGGTGTTGATAATATCAAAGTGGAGAAATGGGGGCTAATATGTGGACACTTAAAATGCACCTTCCTAAGATAATGAAACATTTCCTTGTGAACTATAACAGAGAATTAAATGGGAGGATAAGGTATAGAGACGTTTTTATCAACTCAGGACAAACTTCTATGTGGTCACATCGTTACACTTCTTCCTTACCTGTTGTACAGAAGAATGTCTGGCACCCAGATTTGATCAGACGGGAATCTTAAGTTCTGTACTCCTGCGTATTCAGACTGGTCCCATGACAAATATGCATCAGTCCAGGACTGTAGAGAAGTTGTTATATTAATCATGTTCATAAATACAAGGAAATCCATCCCTATATTTTCTGGGGAGGATTGTAATTTGGATATTGTTGCAGTATAAAAAAGAAGTCACAATGAAGAAAAGATTGTGCCAGTAATGGGAAGTTACTGTCATGATAGAAGTTATAAATGGAATGTTACACTGAAATAATAGCTATGTCTTTTAGGCCAGCCCTACCATTGGGCAAAGAGTGAAGAGTCTGCTTCAAAACAGAGGTGCCAGAAGGTGACAGCACGGTGATGGAGGAGAGTGCCCAACACCTTTCACTGTGAATTCAGTGGAAGACATTCTCTCATCACCAGCATTAAATGAAGATACAACGGATATAACTTGGCTTTTGTACATGAGAAGGCAACATTTTGGGTTTTTTTGCCTTGGGCACTAAATGACTTCGGGACAGACTTGGTGCCTATAAATTACTCCTTCAACCTCCTATCCCTCATCCCTTCGGATATATATGCAAGACTGCACAAACCCCAAGTATATGCGGTCTGTCAAACGTGGCAGAAAATCTGCAAGAAGTGGGGAACAGTCTGCCTGTTGTCCCTGCTGGTGCTCCAGGACATATTTCAGTCTCCATTGCACTGGGACAAAATGTCAAAAATCACCAGGATGGAAGGGGGGGGGGATGCTGAGTGCTTATTGCATCCCTTGTTTGAACGTCTGTGCCAACATTATCAGCTACGGAGCTGAACATTTCTGAAGCAAGTGGAGTCTTCCAGCTCTGCTTTCCTTTAAACATCCTTTATTTATTCACTCATTTATTTCACATTTAAATAAATGTTTAACTCTTTTCTTCCAAAGAACCTCAAAATGATTAACACGAAGTTTTAAAGGTGTTTTTTTTAATTACTAACCATTTAAAATAATTCCAACAACATTATAAAATGCTCAAACAGGATCAGTAAATAACAGAATGTATTAAACCATGAAATTGAAGTGCATCAGACTGGAGAAGGATGACAGAGGCAGTTCAAAGCTACACTCAGGGACAAACTAGATGTTTAGGAAAGTTTGTTTTCCATGTGACTAGCCTGTTTCTCCTTTCACAACACAACCTCCTCACATATAAGTGTCTGAACGATCAGATTTGCAAATTATGTCCATGTTCATCTTCTAATGACCAATCACAAAAGTTCACTGGGATGCAAGATATGGAGGCAAGAGGAAGCATCTGCTATGACAAACATAAATCTTTCACTTTTAAGAAGGGTTGCTTCTAATGACAAAACAACCATATAATCTCCTTTGACTCACAGGAAAGGCTCGATTCTCAGCTCAAATTTCTTTCTTAAATGGGAAGTGTTTTTGCCAACTTTAAATAGTTTAAAAATATTTAAAAAGGAAATGAATTGGGCTCCAGAAGGAACTCTAGAGCCTTAGCATAGCCCTCCAAAACAGAGCTTGGGGGAAAAATACATATTTAGAATACAGCCCCCAGCATCTTCTTTTTTTATCAGCAATCCACTTTGGGGAATAAGAAAAATTTTAAGTCATTGCTATTCTCAAGACAGTTGGGAGCCATAAAACCTTGTTGCTCTTTTGCAAATTGCCTAGAGATCTAGTTGTAGGTTCAGAGTTTTTCTTGTCCAGCTTCTGCCTATCTAGTAGAATAGATCTGATGTCACAGCATTCTGCATTTCTCCAGTTCTGCTGCAGTTTTTGGCAGCAGTTGACTTAGCTTGATAGTCCAGTTAAAACCTCTCATGGAAATTGTTTAATTTTCTCTGAAATCCAGTAGGACCAAATCAGCTTTTAAAAATCACAGACAAATATTTATTTATTTGTTTGTTTGATTGATTGATTTATACCCTGGCACCATCTGGCAACCAGGCCACTCTGGGTGGCTAACAGCAAAATATCATCTTTAAGTATTGAAGGAATATATTTTTTCTTCATTAGTCATCCTTTTCTCTATATGGAAAAGTTGGGGGAGGGAAATAACAATGAATTATACAGTATTGTTGCTGAATAATGGCAAAACTACTCACCATCTGTAGCCAAGCATTTGTTATCAAGACCTGGTTCTTTTCATCCTTTAAAAAAGAAGTGGAAGGAAAAATAATTACAAAATATTTTTCAAAGTATGAATAATTTCAATGGATTCTCGAATGAATAATTTCATTCATTTATTTCCCAGGCTTGTGCATGGAAAGATAAACTACAACTTACAAGTTTAAGGTTTAAAATGTGTACCTTCTATTCAAGATTCCTTTTGCTCCATTCCATTCTCTCCCTTTTCTGCCCTCAGTCAACAATCCACATCCACAAAGCATGCCCAGTACTCACTACACTCTTTCAGGGACGCTTCCTCCTTTCAAACGTTTTTCTCCTAAAGAAAGTTGTGCTTCTCCAGACCTTGAGAGTCTTTCTTGTGTTCCTTCTTGTGTGTGGCTGGTGTCACTGTCCCACTTAGAGACTGATACACCAATCAGCAGCAGTCTGTAACTGATATACAAGGCTAGGTAGAATGGCAGCCGCCATCTTGGCTCCATCTGTCTCGTTCCTAGGGCAACTGGCCAATCAAGGAGGCTGGGAGGTGGGCCTAGTGGACCAGATTGGGTTTTTAAAAGTCAGGGCAGCCATCCATTCTGCATTGACCTTTCTCTCACCTACCCAACCCTTGTTAAGTGCTGATAATGTGGTCAACTTAATGTTACATCTATCTTGATTTTCATAGTTTTGTTGGGGGCGGTTCTGAAGTACATGGGCATATATCCATGTGGTAGAGGAGGGGATCCCCATGGGAGCAGGACCATGCCCAGGTGGATCTCCTTCAAGGGGGTGGAGATGGGGGAAAGAAGCCATCTGGATGCTCAGCTTGGGCTCTTCTGTGCACGTACACCTACATGGTGACAGATAGGGCCACACTGTGGCACACATCCCTGTGGTTAACGCCAATCCAGTTACTGTGGTTATCATCAGCCAGTAGTCAGAATGCTAATGTAGGATCCATGCCAGCCCCAAGGTCACTTAGCAGTTGTAACCAATAAAGTTGTGGCCTCTTTATTCAAAAAAATAACATTGTCTCTGTGTGTTTATTTATGCTCTCAGATTCTGGAGCCATTCAGCTCATCTAACAAGTGATATTGCAATTACTGTAGAATATATGATCACACACACACATAGCTTTTGGCATTTTAACCAATCTTCAGATGATGAAAAATCAATGGCTGCAATTTTTCCACACTCTTATGAAATATATATATAACCATATCATTCATCTGAAGAGTTACAGCATGCCAGTGTCATGGTATCCTGTCAATATTTATTAAGAGCATAACTGTACACCATGTTACCATAAAATATCTTAACATGTTAAAAGAGAAAAGCAAAATGACATCAATAATACTAGACAGCAAATATAAAATATGTAAGCAATGCATGCAAAGTTAAGAATGTTTTAAGGAAGGCCCACTAATATCAATGAAAGAATTAAAGATGTATTAAAGCTTTCCTTTTCAATTCAAGAGAATATAAAGATGCTTATCTTGGGATGGAGTCTGTCATACAAATGGAAGAAAAAAAAGGTTTGACTCATAAACCCTCGCACACACAGCAAAACCTCTTTGGGGCACAAGAGAACATTAATTCCCTTCTAAGTCTCCTGTCACATCCACTACAAGGTGTCCAGCCATCTCCTTCACAGCAGGAGGAATGTGCACTTGTCCCATGCATATATTTAACAATTCTCAAGGTGACGCCTCCTGAAGGAACAAGAGCTGCTAGAATCCAGTACAATTTTTTTGATTTTTAAAATTTTTTTTATTTATTTTGCTTTCCCATCAGCAGACAGAAACCAAGAGTGGTAGATGCAATCACACACACACACACTCAATCCTCGTGTTATATGGGTAAACAACTGCACAGAACTCAAAATGAGTAACTTTGAAAAATGCACACAAAGAAGTTTAGATCAACACTAAAAAGTGTGTATACATTAGGAAAAGCAATTGGAAGAAATAAATCCTCAGGAATTGATAGAAGACCAACAGAACTATTTTAGGATACAGAGACAAATTGCATCAAAATCCCAACAAGAATGAGCCAACCAATATGAAAAACCGTACAGTAACATTGCTGATGAAAAAAAAAAGACTCATGGTCCTTTTTAGGACCACAAATGAAAATCATTACAATTTAGAGGATGTTTCTTCATCTAAAGAGATTCACTTTGCTGCAAATGGAAATGTAATGTTGAAGAAACTCACAGAAAAACTGATCAGTGTAAACCAAAGGTTCCTGGAATGTGTGTAATTACTGAGAGGCTCCACAACCAATATGGAAATGCCATTTTTGTAAGATCAAGTATTATACAGTAGTCTGCTCAACAGACTTTACTAAAGAGGACAACATAGAAATCTTGACAGTTGAACTTGTTGTGTGTATAGTAACATCAATTCATAAACCACCCAATATACCATTCTTCTTTAAGAAGCCATCTAATATGAAAAACCAAAACACTTACTTTCTAACTGGGAATTTCAACAGCCATAGCAATATTTAGGCCTATGAACTTAGGGTTGATGAAAATGACAAAGCCATTATAAAAGGGTCAGATTCCCATTCAATGTGCTTTAAACATGATCCTAAACTACCCATTCATTTAACAGTGGCAAGTGACAGAGAGCCACAATCCAGATTTCTATTAGTGAGCCTATAGTTCAACAGTGCACTAAAAGTGCAGGCAACCCAATGCCAAACAAGTGGCACAGACCCCATTCTATGTCAGATTTACTCAGCCATCCAACCTCAATCTACACCATTCCATAGGAGGCATAATCCGAAAAAAGCCAAGTGGAAGCCTGATCCCATTAGTTAAAGAAAAAAACTAATCAATTGTGTTTAGCATGTTTTAATTAGATTTAAATTTGGTGATTATTACACAATATGATTAGGGGAGACTTCCGGTTCCGGGAATTTTTTTTTTTTTTTTGGCTGATCAGCAATGAGGGTTTGGGTTTTGTTTTGTTTTTTGCCCTCTGCCAGATGTCTGTTTATTTTAAGAGGGAAGTGGAACTGATCTATTGAAATCGATTCCACATGTGTAAATAACTCGGTATGAGTTAATTTTAAAGAGCCCCCACTGGCTGGCCCTCACAGTCATTTGTGGAATTTTTTTTTTTTTTTTGGCTGATCAGCAATGAGGGTTTGGGTTTTGTTTTGTTTTTTGCCCTCTGCCAGATGTCTGTTTATTTTAAGATGGAAGTGGAACTGATCTATTGAAATCGATTCCACATGTGTAAATAACTCGATATGAGTTAATTTTAAAGAGCCGCCACTGGCTGGCCCTCACAGTCATTTGTACCCTGTTTTTGATTGATTGATTGATTGATTGATTGCTAACTAGCTATCTGGTACAACCCTATACCAGATACCAAAAATAAACACAAAACAAAAACAGAGCTTTACCCCAATAGGCAAATGGCCCGTGAGCTCTTTTGTGCAGTGCCAGGAAGTATAAGAAGTAACAGCGCTAAATCCCCGAGCTGGGTAGCAGCCCTCTCCACAACCCCTCCAACAATGGGCTAGCCCAGCATTGGGAGGAGAGGAGGAGAGGAGTCCGGGCAGCCAGGTGTCCCTGGGAAGAGAATGACAACATACATGTTCTCATTGCCCTTGTGTTGCCGCTTCCTCTGCCATGGGATTGGGGCATGAGGAAAGAGGCTTCTGGGTGGCCCAGTCACTGCTTAAAGTCAGCTTCTTCCCAGAAACTAGCTGATTGTTGCAGCGATCAGAAGGGACCACCTCAACAACTGGGGGGATTCAGCACCATGGCTTCTTACACTACAATATGCTACATTTTAAAGGAAGCACAGAGAGTGATTAAAATACCAGGCGATTGTCACATGATTGTAACTCAGTTTCATGTAGAACACAGTGTATTACAGGATTATTGTGAAGTGTAAACAGGATCTGGGAAAAGTTTACAATGCTAGATGCAGTTGCGATGCAAATTGTCCCTCATTGTCTAAGTGGGGACCTGCTGGAAGAGGTGGGGCACCGAACCACTGATCAGCTACTTGGCTAGGAAACGAACCATGTCGAACCAGCAGTTTGTGCCCATCTCTACTAAAGATCATGGACTAAGAAAAACAGTTGCTGTTCTACTTCAAAACCAAAAATTCTTCGTTGAATTTCAAGGGAGGCACAGTCACTGAATAAACCAAAGGAACAGTCTCCCACCAGGTACCATCCTGCAACCATTACTTGTTAACAGTTATGCAAATAATCAGCCAACATCCCCATACTTCAGGAGTTTCATCTAAGCTGATTATCTTGCCTTGACAATCCAGGGAGAAAATAATGAACAAAATAAGGTAATACAGCACAAACCCACCCACTTCATGGACACCAACCCCCTAGACGATGGGTTTTCTACATGCATCTCAAGCTCCAAATATTACACCAGAGGAGACTAGGCGAAACCTATGGAGAACAAGAACAGCACACCTTGTTGAATGGACGAAACCCTGAAGAGTGTCCCTCACCAGGATAGGATTCTAGCTGGACCATCTGAAAATCACTTAGACTTTGAAGCAAAGTAGGAAGATCAAAAAATAAAGTAAAATGGGGCTACTTGGGTACAGAACAAATTTTCTGTGTATGTGGAGAAATTCAATCATTGTAACACTTAAATGTGTGTGATTTATGTCCCACCACATGTACAAAAGAAGATCTAGCAAATATCCCAGATAACACTATTGAAGTAGCCCATTCTGGTTAAAAAAAGTCTAATTATCTTAATATGTAAATTTTAATATTACCTATATTTCATATATGTCCATAGTTTTAAATTGTACAACACTCTGACAAAAATAAGAAAGAAAGAAAGAATATAAACAAAACAACAGTCTACAGAATGGGAGCATACAATACACTTTTCAGTCTGAGAGATGCCACACATTGCAGTAACTAGAGGAGCATTGCTTTAATTCCCAATGTAAGGAAATTAAGGCTCAACAAAGACTTTTACCATGATTGGAATAAGAAACACCAATGTTCAAGCTACGTGTACAACACTCTGACAAAAATA